AGGCACTGGAATGGGTTGCCCAGGGAGGTTGTGAATGCTCCATCCCTGGTAGTGTTCAAGGCCAGGTTGGACAAAGCCTTGGGTGGTATGGTTTAGTGTGAGGCGTCCCTGACCATGGCAGAGGGGCTGGAACTAGATGATCTTAAGGTCCTTTCCAACCCTAACTATTCTATGATTCTACGATCCTATTAGAGTTGTTCAGCTGGAGAAGAGAAGGCTCCAGGCAGATCTTAGAGCAGCTTCCAATGCCTAAAGGGGCTGACAAGAAATATGAAGAGGGAATTTGTACAATTGCACAGGGTGCCCAGAGCTGTGGCTGCCCCATCCCTGGCAGTGTTCAAGGCCAGGCTGGACGGGGCTTAGAGAAACCTGGTCTAATGGAAGGTGTCCCTGCCAGTGGCAGGGGAGTTAGATCTAGAAAATTTTTAAGGTCCCTTTCAACCTAAACCCTTCTAGGAGTCTATGATGATCTGAATAACCTTCTTGAACTCCAGAACTCTCAAAGTTTTTAAGTGTTTGGAGCATAATTAAACTTCAGTGCTGTGAAATATTGCTGAATAGTAACTAAAAATCATAACTGCCTTGAACCCCAAATACATCTCTTATTATTACAGTCCTTCAAAGTTTTATATAAATTAATGATAATTGAATCTCAGGTTCATGGTCTGGTACGTCACTGTCCCCTTAGAGGAGCTATTACCATGGTGATAAGATTGCTTAAATTAAGCTGTCTTTTTCCACAGTACTTGGCTCATTGCCAGCGCAGTGAAGGGAGATTTCAGTCCATTCAGCACAGCATTAACCTTACTGCCAACACTGCTAAATGGGTTAGAGGAACTAGGGGAAAAAAAAAAAATTAAGAAGGAAGGAACAAGCAAATATGTAAAATACTGAAGCACAGAACAGGACAAAAAATAAAACCAAACCCAAACCACAAATCCACACCTCAAAACACAATCAAAATCAGGTAAGCTTTTATATTTACACAGAAAACTTAAAAAAAATTAATGCTTGGGTAATCTAGATGTAAAACGTCACTGAAAATAAGCATGACCAGTGGTTTATCCATGAGAGAACTATAATAGACTGTGAGGAGGATCAGAAATCATGGCAGGTAAAAATCCTTATTTAAGATCTAGTTTTGCCTTCTTATTTGGGATTCTGACTTAAGCAGCAAAACATAACCCAAACAAACATTGAAAACCCCCATGAAATACAAAAAAGTAGACTATGGAAACAAATACTGAGTTAACTAAGTGGGCATGGAGAAAATGAAAAGCACTCCTTTGAATTGTTAGGATTTAATACGTACTCCATAAAAAGTAGTAAGCTATGTTCAGATGGGGCTGTCAGAGATAATGACAATGTATTACAGTGTAAATCATAAGATTTGAAACATTAGAGCAAAGTATCTATGTAACCTGAAAACCACAATTATTTTAGTGGAAAAGAAGGGAATAGGCAATAGGTTGCAAGTACTTTATTCTGGGGAAGAAGGAAAAAATCAATTTATGTAAGAGCCAAATAACATTATCTTAAAAAAGAGAATCAATGCTCCTGCGTTTTTATGTGGTGAGAGAGATCCTTGCAGTCTTTTTCTGGTAATACTTACAAATTATTTTTCTGGGTGACAATGAAATTACTGCATGTTCATAAGTCATTTTAGTAATGAATATGTTTTTTTTTTTTTCAAAACTGTGTGTGAGTGCATAGAGTCTGCATTTGCATTGACAGGCACATTACAGCGCTGAAGGCTGCAGCACAGTTGGTTACACCCCCCTACAGGTACAGCTCTTCTCCAGGCTTCATCAACAGCTATTCTGTGATATGTCCTCTGAAGTTTTAAGGGTGTGCCTAATTCTAATTTTCATTTGGGTTGCTTAGAATAACTGCCAGAGTTAAAGAACTGGCCTTGGCAATGACACAGATTTAGACTATTTTCTGGCTTTGCCAAAAGCCTGGGTGAACTTGAGGAAGTCATTTCCAGGTCAGCCTCCCCATTAAACAGTTGGGCTGGTAAGCTGGCTCCTGACAAAACTGTTGCGCATAAGTCCTTGCATATAACACCTCCAGATGAAGCACAAAACAGAATTTCCGATTTGCCCTTTTCTATAGGCATATAATGAAGTTTTACCCTGTAAAAAAAAACCCTTTCAGAACACATACCTCAGTCTATGTCTTTTACTGCAGCCCTCTGGAGTCTCATCTAGAATTTCAAATTCTAATTACATAAGAATACATGTTTAATCAGAGTACTGCAAACATTTTCAGAACTACAGAATTTTCTTTTACATAAAGATGACACATTTTCATTATAAGCAGACTCCTAAAGTTGCTTCGCTTTTGACTGTCCAGAGTGAACAGGATTTACAGTCACGCGATTGGCTCTGGGAAATCTTTTCCTGTCTGAAAACTCTCTAATATTACCTGGCTGCAGATAAACCATGCAAACACATGTGCTGTTCATGGATTAACAGGAGATACAACTGGAAGAAAAGCTGACCACGTGCATTCTGATTTGTGCATAGTTGTTACAGTAGGGGATACATTACTGCCTAAGTCTTCTTTTTGATTGCAAATGTTCCAAATTAAAAAAAAAAAAAAAAAGAAATCCGCTTAAATATATTAGGTATGTACATATTAGGTAGATTTGGTACTATTAAAGGTTTAGCAGAAAACCACAGCTGCCATTGACATGTTTCCCTTTATTTCATAGGATTATTTTTAATATGCAGCTAAACATTAATGGAGAAGGAAAGCAAGAGAGTCCAGATATTAGGCCAAAGTATTTGCTCAATTCTAGCTGAATCATTCCCTGTTAAAGGAAGAAAAACCAAGCTGCAAGCCATTCTTTTTCTCTAAGGCTGTGCTGTGTACTATAGGCTTCTGGGAAGTGGTAATCACAAATGTCTTTTATTACAATGTTTCCCTGCTACATCACTTGTCTGCACATAAACTGCAGATACATCTTGGCAAACAGTCTCACAGATTCTACTTTCAGATTATACAGCCTTTCAGCCAGCTTCATGAGAGGCTGCAGCTAGCTACCAGAGGGTGCATGAGATCAGCTGAAACAACCACTGAAGGGCAGGAATGTGGAAAATTCCCAGACTTTGTGAATCACTAATGTGGAATATGCTTTCCCGTCTGAATTCCTAATCCACTGCACAGTGTCTTTTGTCAGTGTCCAATTATACAATTATATATGGAACTATATCTCTACATATTTGTCCTTTATGAGACATTTTAAATTTGCAAAAATAGTAAAAAACTAGGAAAACCAAACTGTACACAAAAGAGACTTAAATTGCAAAGTATTTTCCCCAATAAGGTCTGATGAGAATACAGTGAAGAGGGATGCAGAAAGGCTAAACACGATCTACGTAACTGTTAACTGAAGAGAACCAAAAGGTACTGAATGGGTACAGAATGCCGAGTGATCAGCCTTAGGTGCAGCAGAAGGTATATATATATATATATATATATATATATATATATATATAAGATTGTTATGTCAGAAATGACAGTGATTTCTCTTTATAAGGATTGTGTTAACAGAAGCATCTAGCTCTAGAAGGACTAGCTGAACTAAAAATTTCATGTTCACTTCTGGAGAAAAGTTTCCATCCTCCTTCATTCTTCTTGTGATTTGCCCTTAAGACAAATAAGGAAAGTTTCATTTCAGAATGAAGCAGCTTATCTTCAATCTTTACTTAAGAGCTTTTCAGAGAAAAAAAACCTTAATTTTACACTTGTTAGGTGTTCGTTAGGTGACAAACCTAACTCGACACTTGACACTAGCAGCAGTTAATTGTCTGAAGATGTATAGTAAAATCAAGTTTTGCAATAAAATAAAACCTTCCTATAAAAGAACAGCATTTAGGTTTCAGTGATTTTCAGTTATAATTTGTCCTTGGTCATATGTGTATAAAAAAGAAAACATTTCCCTGCATAATACCTTGTATTCTCTGGATCAGATTATCTGGATGTCAGACATTCACCTGTTTCACCAAACACAACTTACACGGAGAGTCAGGCACTTTGCATTTACATGTTTTAAAATGCCAAACCCCACAGGAAACCCCAGTCAAAGCTTCTTGGTGCTCTGTTCACAGAGAAGAGGAAGAAGGTTGTAGAAAATCAAAGGTTTGTTTCAAGCATCAAGTCAGCAAACACAGCTGTAGCTGAAAGCCATCGAATTAGTTAATACTTGTCGAGAACAAAAAAAAGATTATAGCCAAAAGGTCAGATAAAATTGAGCATTTACCTCTGGTAGAACTTTGGGTAATGAAACACAGGTTCACTGAATACATGCATTTGCTTTCAGTTATTTTTCAGAGTATTATTTGTGTAAATTGTGGATGATCCTGAAGTTGAACCCTCCCTTTCCCAGCTCCCAGAGTTAAGGCCCTCCATGCTCAATACCTGTTTTGGGCCCATATAATTTCCCCACTAGCAAAGGATTATCAAATTACATTCTTTGTGTAAATTTGCAATCAAGTGTTTACATTTGCACTGAGAAAAATATTATTTTTGTATTATTTCCTGTATTTTCTTATGCACAGGAAAGCTACAGGCTGACACTGACTGACTCCAGAGGGGCAGAGTGTAGTGATTAAATAAAACTTCTATTTGCTGATTACGAAATGCCACTGGGAGAATGCGGGAGGGCAAGACAAGTAGATAAGCACAAATCCTGACTGCACACAACTCTAAAACACTGATGTAAGCTACACACCTTAAGGAAATCAATGTCTTTCAAAACTTTGTGAAGTATGTGCTTTTTATGAATATTAATGATCTAATCGAATGAATTAAATAAGACCTCACATTGCCACATGACCTGGCCTCACATCAAAATGCATTGGCATGTCCTGAATGACAAACTTATAATTCCCCATCACCATCTCATGTCAACGTCAGGCCTCCTTCCCCATGTTCTGGTTTTGTTGTTTATTTTTTTTTGACATTTGGGATATAACGTGTACAACGGTCTGTACCTGGTTTCCAACGGGATGTTGCTGTTTAAGACCCAGCTGTTATGGAGATGCACGGAATCTTGGGTGCTGGTGGGGGGAGTGGGGGCAGCAGGACTGGGCTGGCTGCGGGTGGTCATTGATCTTCTCTGCAGAGAGTCAGCTGTTGGAGGTGGTTTTCTGGCACAAGTGCATGCGTGGGGTGGTGGAGGCGGTGGCGGGAGGGGTCTGAAGGTGAACTGGTTATGTGGACTACCTGGCATATCTGAAACAACAAGGAGAAGGCAAAGAAACCCACAGAGGGTTATTATTTTAGAAAGATCAAGAGAGCACGAGCATGATGTACTAGTTATTGGGATTAAAGCAGGGTGTTTTATGATGTTGTTAACCCAGCTGCCTGTCAAACGCTGTTGCAACATGTGAAGTAATTTAAAACATAACAGTCTACTGAAATGGAGAATTCAGATACAGACACACACCCTCCAGCAGTGTAGTTCAGCAGTTCAACAAAACAAAAAACCAAACCAAACAACATAAAAAAACCCCAAACAAAACAAAAAACCCAAACTGAACCCCACCAAAAACAATCAACCAAAAAAGACATCACTTTCATTTGATTTGTCATAGCATTTTGTGAGATGAGGGTAAAGAACAAATAAATCAAGTTAACATTGAACTACAGCACAGATGCCAACTGATTTCATGAGGTATACTTCTAATTTAAGAACATCTGTGAAAAAAACAGAGACAGCATTAAGAATAAGTCTTGCACTTCAAATCAAGGGAGAAAATAATTGGATAATTCCTGCCACCTAACAAACATCTTTCATAAACCAAGGTTTACACAATTCTGTGAGTCTGTTACTGCATTTGTTAAATGAGACCTGGGAAAAGGCCCTCTTAATGACTATTTGAAGCAGTAATGATCTGGATATCCAGAGAAAAGGTTTTATGGCATCTAAAGGCAGATGAGCCAACAAGGAGCTCACAGCTACTGGACAGGGCTGTGAATGAGATGGAGTGAAAGATGCACATGGTGGGCGCCCAAGGTCATACTCCACGCGCTCCCTGTGCTGCTGCTGCTCTGTGGGACCCTCAGCGCTGCCCTCAAGCACCCCAGGGGGCTGGTGTAATAGCATGGGTGCTGCCCTGTGCTAACACTGCCATGCAGCTCTTGGGTGGCCCAGGCTGTGCCCCTGAGCTGGAATCCTCCTCAAAAGACAACAAAGATATAAATATGGTGTAATGGTACCTGGAAGGGACAATAAAATCTTGTTTTCTCTACCTCCCACAAGACTCCTCAAAACTTCTCAACACATCAAGAGATGCAGCTATGGAGAATTGAGGCACACAACTGCATTTGAAAGAAACAATAACAAATACTTTGCAAAGAAGATGCTGATAAAAATCACTGCCAGACCGGGTGAACTGTGAAGCTATTAACCTGAAACTCTTCCAGCTAATTTGCCTCAGGGTCTAACACAGCTTTGTCCCATTTCTATACTCACCCTCACCCTCCCTTTTACCTTAGCAGACGTCCAGTTAAATCTGCACAAAACCAGCTGTAGCAGAGCTCTGATGAACCTGCAAAAATTCCCTGCAAGGAACTGCTGTCGCCATTCATTTACAACGCATGCTTTCTTTAAATTATGACATGATGTGTCTTCAAGGTGAAAGATGAAAGCATGCCCCTTCACTTCTCGGAATGGCTGGTGGAAAAAAAGCACCTTCTTCTGCGTGACAGTCCCAATTTACCCCAACTGGAGAAACAAGGTTGTTTAGTGCTCTACGTAAGCTTTTCTATGCTGCAGTAAGCAAAGCTGTCACAGATTTGGCCCAGGCTTAATCCTTTTAATTTCATTGATCTTTTATCAAGGCAGCATTCGTACAGTTGCATTAAGGTTTACGCTGTAATATTAGTTTGCATATACCAGAAAAGCATTTCTAAGCATATTAGAAAATTGGAGACCTCAGTAAATTAAATCACTGGAGTCAACAGTCCAGAGGTCTGAAATAATCTGCTAAGGCACTTTCATATAGTAATTAATCTCACTAAATCCTGTATCCTGCTATTTTAGATTTGAAAGCTACCCAAATTTTGGACATAATATTTGATGTCCAGCATCCTCAAGCATGTGATCAATGCCACTCCCTTACTTACTGGTGTCAATCTGAAGTGCACTCTACAGAAAATTTGCAGGATTATAACAACCTACAATTTGCACAACAAGCCATTTTAATGGTTGTGCCACTGTCCTGTTAGAAAATTGCTGATCTCGGCCAGGACACACAGTTAGACTCTGCAAGGTACATCAAAAGCTACGCGGTAAATGCTGAGCAGCCAAGGTGACTGCTCTAGGTAAATGGGAAAACTCTGTATAATCTATATGGCAAAGCATCTTTTAGTTCCCTTCCTCCTCTTTTATCTGTACTGTCCCCATCCCATCAATAGCATACAATTATCTGACAAATACTTCAGTTTGTTCAAAGCAATAGACCGGTTCTGCTTTGTGAACCACAAAGTGCTTCTGGATGGTGAGGTACCTTGTATCTCCCAGTCCAATTTATCACAATACATTAACACATCAGATTTCCTGGGGGATTCCTTTTTAATTATCACACTTGTCACCCCTCCGTCAGCTACTGGCATCGCAGGAAACCTCACATCAGGTTCTGAAGTATTTTGGCAATTTAAAGACAAGTCTTCTGCATCAGACCTTCACTTCAGTGAAGCACTGCAAATTCATTATGCTGAGAATCAGCCTGAGTTTCCAATTAGTTTTTACAGACTTTCTAATTTGGCAAAGTTATTTTCATTTTGCTTGAAACCAAGTCTACATCTCATTAACTTTATTTTTATACCACAAAAAATGCTGCTTGGGATATAAAGCACCATCATAACTAAATATTCACATGTGATTCTTTAGGACTCTGAATAAACAGTAGACTCTGTAAAATAACTGAATGAAACATCATTTAAATACTTAAAAAGTGACAAGATAATTTGTCTAAAGCCAGTAATTTTCCAAAATCATAGAATGGTTTGGGTTGGAAGGGAACTTAAAAGATCATCTAGTTCCATCCCCCAAAATCATCAACAAAGTGTATAGGAGTGACACACGAATTAGCTATGAAGTTTTATCCCATTGCTATTGTTCAGTATTATTCTTTCCATGATGACTCTGGGTTTAATTTTTAATAGTTGCTAAGAATCAGATTTTAAACTTTTTTTACACCGAGAAACCTGTGTAGGTTATGCAAATACAGTGTTATTTGTTGTCAATGTGTTCATTGACATAGTAGAAGTTTCCATCCATCTAAAAATATAACTGTAAAACATGACTTCAGCTCAAGCATTACATTTTCAATAATTTGTTTCAAATCAGATTTTCAGCCAAGGAGTGTCCAAGCCAGAAGAGATGCTCCTAGCTGTCACTATTGGCCTTCTCATCTGATCTTGGGTTTAGCCCTTTTACAAATAAGAGGCTGTTTAGAAAATTTCTGAACTCTTTTCCCTGAGAATTCACTAGCTTAAATAGTTCTTTCATTTCTACAGAGCACATCTAGAACTGTGGTGTTTCCTGAGAAGATCTATACAACATTCTGCTGCTTTATTGTATATTGGATCTGCATTGTTTAACACATACTCCCCCACCCACTCCATAAACTCCACTAAATTACTTTCCCCCCTTTTTAACTTTTCTTTCATTCTACAATACCAAAGTTAATTTGTTTAGAGTTTCTATTTTGAGACACTTCCCAAACTCCACACAATAAGTCCAAAAGAGAAACTACTGCACTGATGCCAGCTACAAAAAAGAAAAATTTTCCTTGTAATTCTAAAATGGATTTCTGCTCACTCTCCTTTCTTTGAAGTTTGAAGGGAGGAATTCTGCTCCTGTCCTGGATGTTCCTTCTTCTTTGGCTCTGACTCATTCTTTTGGATGGCCCTTATCCAATATTGAACACACCTTGCTCCATGGCATTGTATAAAGGAGCTTGGTATCCTACTGTTATGGAGCGCAGACCTCAACAGCTTCTCTTCAGCTGCTGAGTTGCACTACTACTGCCTTTTCCTTCAGGACATACAATAATTCATATCTTGCATTCTACGAGGCATCTGCTCTTCCAAAGTGGAAAGTTACTTAACTTGGACACTTCCCTTACTCTGCCGTGTAAGACTAGTGCTGCCATTCTGCTCAAAAGCTAATGGAGGCACTGACCAGCAGACATAAGCAACATTAATGTAAACTCATTTTCCTTAAGAGGCTAAAATGCCTTTATAATCATAAACATGTAGCCAAACTGCTTTAAAGACTGACAAAAATCAAATGAGCAGCTGTATCAACTACTTAGCACCTCATTAAAAATTAGTTTTGAAAACAAGCCAGGCCTTTGCCGAAATATGTTCCTAACAGTTTTGTAGTATACTTTACTATAAATTTTAGATACACATAGAAAGAAGGGGTAATTGAACTGTTTTATCATTTACTGACAAGACTACAATAGCCTGTATTGTTACCAAGTGAAGTATATCAGAGAGAATATATTAAAAAGTAATGAACCTTAAAAGGTTTGTGTTTAACCTAATCCTGCTTTTGGGATATTTTAATTTTTTTCAGTTCTTAAATTCATTCTTCACTGGTATGTTTGGATATTTTTTTTAATAGATATGTCTCAGCTGAATATGAATTAATCCATTATTTAATGAATAAAATAGCAACATATGTTCAAATAGTTGGTGTAGTTTGTTCAGAGTTCTATGAGTATGCCACTACTCAGTTAAAAACAGTCTAATTTTTTCTCAAGCAGAGATGAAGGAGAATAATGGACACTGAAGAACTGGAAAAGACAGAGAATCTGAATGCTTAAGACTAAAGCTAAAAGGCATAGAATAAAAATTATCAATTTTACAATGAGATTTATGCTTTCTGTCTAAGTAGACAAACTAAGAATGAGATGGTGCTACCATTGCAGAGTGCTGGTTCTGGTACATGTTAATATATTTACTGGTGTTGTGTAAGTCTTTAAACGCTTTCCTTCCATTCTAAACTTACAATTTTCTATGTATGTGTCATTGACCTTACTAAGCTCCTAATTATTTGCTGCCTATCTCTGAATTCCTGTTATTTTTGATGCCATGTATTTTGAGAACAGGTGAATGAGCAAAAAGAAAAGTGTTTGAAATTTCTCTACTGATGTATATAAATGCACATTGTGTTTCAATAATTTATTCTACACTTGTTCCTTCTGAGGGAGCTCAAC